TATATATATATAAGAATTTTCATTTTAATTTTTTAAAGTTAATACTGTAAATATAACAGTTTAGGGTGTTATATATGTAAATAAATAAAAGTATGTGGTACGCATGTAAATGCCCGTAATAATAATATAATAATAATAATGGCTTACAGAATTTGCTGCTAGGGCTGTAAAAAAAGCTCGTTGTTCGCGAACAGTTCGTGTTCGGTTCGTCAACGAGTTCGTGTTCGATTCGTTCGATAAGTAAACGAAACAAACGCGAATAATTTTTTTTCGTTCGGTTAGTTAAACGAACCAAACACGAACAGTGATGCGTTCGTTCGTGTTCGAATCGTTATTGTTTGAAATATAAAATAATATAAAATAATTATATATAAAAAATTTATTATATTTTAAAACATTAAATTTTATAAATTATAATATATAATAAAATAATAATAAGAATATATTAATATGCTATAGTAGTAATATACTAATATAGATATTGTATATTTATATAATATAAGTTAGTCGTCCCCGAACAGCTCGTGTTCGGTTCGTGTTCGGCTCGTTCGTTAAGAAACGAACACGAGCTTATTTCAAACAAACTAAATTTTAAGCGAACTGAACACGAACACAAGCTTTGTTCGTTAGTGTTCGGTTCGTTTACGCACCTATTTGCTGCAACTACTCTCTGCTTTCAAAAACCTCACCCCTTTCTCTTCGTCCTTCCCCCAGCACACATTCTCCCCTCCAATCCTCGCCATGAAACCCTACACCATCCTCCCTTTCTTCCTCCTCCTTTCCCTCTCCTCCGCTTCCTTACCGATCAACGTCTGGCCCAAACCCACCAACGTCTCCTGGCCAATCCGCGTATACTCCCTTCTCTCCCCTTCCTTCACCATCTACTCCTCCCACCCCGATCATCCCCACCTCTCCCTCGCCGTCTCCCGCTACTCCGATCTAATCCTTTCCGAGCACCACCACCCCCTCCTCCCCCCTTCCCTCCGCTCCACCCATCACCTCCTCTCCTCCCTCAACATCTCCATCTCTAACCCCTCCGCCCCTCTCCACCACAACGTCGACGAATCCTACACCCTCTCCATCCCCCTCTCCGGCCCCGCTCTCCTATCCGCCTCCACTCCCTGGGGCGCCATTCGCGGCCTCGAAAGCTTCTCTCAACTCACCTGGTCTGCTGGTTCCAAAACCCTAATAGCCGCCGGGATCCACATCGCCGATCGTCCCCTGTTTCCGCACCGGGGATTGCTTCTCGATACTTCCAGAAATTTCTTCCCGGTGGAGGATATTCTCAGGACGGTGAGAGCGATGAGCTATAATAAGATGAATGTTCTTCACTGGCATGTCACCGATTCGCAATCGTTTCCGATTCTTCTTCCTTCGGTTCCAGATCTCGCCATTAGAGGTTCTTATGGGCCGGAGATGAGGTACTCGCCGGAGGATGTCCGGCGGATTGTTGACTATGCTATGAGCTATGGAGTTCGAGTCATGCCGGAGATTGATGTGCCTGGTGAGATTTTGTTTTTTTTATTATTATTAATTGACTGATTAGTAATTAATTGATTATTAAGATATTGTTTTAATAGACGAATTCGTTGCCTTCATTTGACTTTGACTTGGCTGATTATTTATGAATTTAGGGGTGTAAATGAGCTGAACACGAGCAAGCCCAGACCCAACTCGTGTTTGGCTCATTAAAAGATACAATTGTTCGTGTTCGGCTCGTTTGGCTCTTTAAAAAATAAAATTGTTCATGTTCGGCTCGTTTAAATTTTAAAAAAAAAACGTTATTTTTTAGCCCGTTTGCTCAGCAAGCCGAACACGAGTTGTTCAGGAATAGTCTTTTTGACAACCCACTCATGCAAATATAGAATGTTAAAGATTAGGATGAGATTTAAATGCTATTATTTATATTAAAATATTATTTAAATATTATGTAATATATGCAGATCGATTGACGTGAAGTGGTTGAAGGACATAACTTAGCCTACCGACGGACGGGAGACAACCAACTAATGTGTTTTTGCCTCTGTCGAGGACTTGTTTTTGCCTGATGAGGTGTGCATATATAATTATAATTATTTTGAGTCAAAACGAGTCCGAACACGAAAGAACAAATCTTTTTTCGTATCCGACTCGTTAACTTAGCATAAGAATCAAACATGAGCTTCTTATCGAGCCGAACATGAGATGTTCGCGAACAATGAGGAGTTTTGACATCTCTATTTATGATTAACTAATTTTTTTAGAAATAATATAATTGGTTTTTTTATGTCGAGATTTAATTTAAAACAATTTACAGCATTAATTAAATTTTTTATAATATCACTCAGTCTCAAAAGAGAGTTTAATAATTTTAAATTACAATATGTAAATCATAGAGTGTTATATATGCAAATATGTAATTCTTCCTCTTCTCGTAAATTGAAACAGGGCACACGGGCTCCTGGGCCCAAGCCTATCCAGAAATCGTGACCTGCGCGAACCAATTCTGGCTCCCTCCCAACAAACCGCCGCTCGCCGCCGAGCCCGCCACCGGCCAACTCAATCCCCTCACCCCGAAAACCTACGAAATCGTCCAAAACGTCTTCCGCGATGCCGCCCATCTCTTCACCGAACCATTCTTCCACTCCGGCGCCGACGAAATCAACTCCGCCTGCTGGGAATCCGATCCCGCCATCGCCGCCTTCATGTCCGGCGGCGGCACCCACGACCAACTCCTCCAAAACTTCATCGCAAAAACCCATCCTTTCCTCACCTCCCACCTCAACCGCACCGCCGTCTACTGGGAAGACGTCCTCCTCGGCCCCGCCGTCAAGATCCCACCTTCCGATATCCCCAAAGAAACCACCATTCTGCAAACCTGGAACAACGGACCCAACAACACGAAGATCCTCGCGGCGATGGGGTACAGAGTCATCGTCTCCTCGTGGGATTTCTACTACCTGGATTGCGGCCATGGAGGTTGGGTGGGGAATGACAGTCGGTACGATGGCCTGAAGTCAGGGGGCGACGGGGGGTCATGGTGCGCGCCGTTTAAGACATGGCAGAGGGTTTATGATTACGATATAACGGAGGGGCTGACGGAGGAGGAGAGGAAGATGGTGATTGGGGGGGAGGTGGCGATGTGGTCGGAGCAGGTGGATGGGGTGGTGGCGGATGGGAGGATATGGCCGAGGGCGGCGGCGATGGGCGAGGCGCTGTGGTCGGGGAATAGAGGGGAGGATGGGAGGAAGAGGTATGGGGAGGCGACCAATAGGTTGAATGAATGGCGGCATAGGATGGTGGGAAGGGGGATTGGAGCCGAGCCCATTCAGCCCTTGTGGTGTGTCAGGAATCCGGGGATGTGCAATTTGGTCCAGTAGAAAATTTGAATTTGCAATGAAATTAAGGGATAATTAGTACAGAGCACAAGAAATATTTCTATTTACAAATCAAGCACAAAAAACTAAAAATTATTCCGTCCGGACGTAGAAATATTTCTGAAGTCCAATGAATCACACAAAAAAAAAACTAATTTTTTTGTAATTGATTCGGCCGGTACCATATGGGAATACTTCTCTGTATTATTCTGCATTATTCAGGTGTTATGGTTGTGATATTGATATGTTATTGTATTATTATAACACTATGAACACAATAACACATGAATATCACCACAATAATACATGAATAATGCTGAATAATATGGGAGAATATTCCCTTATGTTAAAAGGTTTTTTTACGTTCCGTGATTTTATTGGACTTCAGATGTATCTCTGCGTCCGGATGTAATAATTACGCCACAAGAAACATGAAAAATTTGTATTGTTATTGTTTTCTTAAAATAAATTTAATAAATTTGATGTTTGTTGTGCGGTTTAAAATATGTGGTAGTATTTGTACGAAAGTTTTGGGATTTAGATGCATGCCTTCAATTTCTATGTTTTCTTACATATATAATGTCTGAATTTTGGTTTTTTTTACATTTATACCGGCTAATTATTTTATATTGCATAAAAAATATCATTTGTTTTACTTTTTTTAAAGAGTGAAATGCGCACGTTTTCTTATGTGAGAAGTTTTAGTGTTAGATATGTAAATAGATGAGATAAGGATGGCATGAATGTAAATCATAGTTTTAGGATTTCTTTCTCGGCATGAAAAATAAAAAGGGTCATTTGCATGCATTTAAATCATATCTATCATACTACTACAAAAAAATTTCTTAATTAAATTCATTTAATAGTAGCATATAGAAAAATAATACTATTTAATTAAATTTAAAATTAACACATTAATCTGTTCCAAAAAAAAAAAAGAGGAAGATTTACATTCATACCACCCAATAACAAAATTTATGTGTAAGATAGGGCTGTCAAAAAAGCTCATTGTTCGTGAATAGTTCGTGTTCGGTTAGGCAATTAGCTCGCATTCGATTCGTTCAATAAATAAACAAGACGAACGTGAACAAATTTTTTTCGTTCGGTTAGTTAAGAGAACCAAACACAAATAGTTATCCGTTCGTTCGTGTTTGAATCGTTATTGTTCGAAATATAAAATAATTTAAAATGATTATATATAAAAAATTTAATATACTAATATAGATATTATATATATTTATATAATATAAGTTATATAATTAATATAATATATTATTTATATATATATTAATATTAGTGATTTCAAATTGGCTCGTGTTCGGCTCGTTCGCTAAGAAATGAACACGAACTTTGACTTCACGTATAATTTCGAACACGAGCTTATTTCAAACAAACTAAATTTCAAACGAACCGAACACGAACACAAGCTATGTTCGTTCGTGTTCGTTCGTGTTCTGTTCGCTTACACCCCTAGTGTAAGATAGGTACACACATAAGAACATGGTGGAATGTATGTAAATGCCCTTTAGGCATCTTGATTAATGGTTTAAAATAAAATAAATAAAAAAATTATATATTTCCTTCTTTTCTCTATAGCCGAATAAAAAAGAGAGGAAAATTTCTTATTTTATTCCAAAATATTATTGCAGTTGGATAAAAAAAAATGTAAATAAAAAAATACTGATGATAATATCGATTTCTCTAATTTAATTTATTAAAATGTTATTTTTTTTAAGAAAAAGATTATAAAATGAGGATTTTATTATATTCCTCTTTATAATGTAGTTTATTTTGGAGCCATAGATTTATTTTAAACTTGAATTATTGCTGTAAGACCGTCTTTATATTGTTGTCGTCTTGTATTGACTTAGGGTCCGTTTTGGGGCGGCAGCGAGATGGCAGTGCGACACCGCACCACAGTTTGTATGTTTGGGTAAAATGCATTTTGACAGCTTTTTCAAAAAACAACCGCTAAAATTTGTATTTTCCCATCGGTCCTGGCTAGGTGCGGCGACGGTCATACTTAAAAAAAAAATTGTAATATTCATCACAGCTTTTAAAACATCTGTTTTTTGATAAGTTGTAGTTGCTCACTTGCCGATATGATTTGAGCTCTTTAACAAAAAATTGAGATATTTAATTATGTGAATATAATTTAGCTTTATGCAATACTTTCATGAATATTTTCCCCTTATTTCATATATGTCAAAACTTTTCTTATTATGTCAAAAATATTACATATAAACTACATATAAATAAAAAGTAATGGAATTCACAAAATGAATTTCTCATATTATTTATAAATTTGAAGTATTTGTTGCATAATGATTTATAGTTATAACAAACCAAATGATAAACCCTAATAAGACTATCATTTATCAAAAACATGTTTTCCAACATTAATTAACCTAATGACCTAAAATTCCAATTTTGGATAATTTTGAAATTTTAATTTAGTTTTATTTTTGGTTTTTTTATTATTTAAATATATCTTTATTTTTTTTAAATATAAACTTAATTTATGGAACAATTAAAATAAAACTCAAGTATTCTGAGCTTTTTTTTAAAGAAATCATCACTAGCTATTTATTACTCATAAACACAGCTTGCTGCCACCTGCCATCTACCGCTTGCTAATGATATGACTCATTTACTTCTGCTAGCCTCCATCATATTAAATTAAAAATAAAAAGTATTTTGTTTTGATACATCAAATAGATTTTATTTTAAATAAAAATAAAAAGTAAATTAATAAATTAAAAAAACGAAAATAAATATCATAATCAAATATGTTTTAAATTCAAATCAAAATATGAATGGGCCTAAATATATTTAAACTATGACATGCTATTTGTTATAAATAATGTTTTCCACCTTAAAATCCACATTAATTGATGCCGAAATCATCCACATCAATCATTGTGGAAAAATTCATTTTCTCTAGAGATAATATATTATAGAATTATGTTAAATTCTATTAATTCATCTATAATTACACCTAGAGTTGATAAATGATGTGCCTTTAATTTATAAATAAAATAAAATTATTTAAAATTAATATTGATAATAATTATTGAAAGAAAAAAAATGGAGAAGAATAGAGAGTTCAAGCTTCTAATATAACGAATTATCTAAAAATAACTCAAAATTATGTAATAAATATGAGTTTTATAGTAATTATATAAAGATTAAAACTTCAAGAAAATTTAAGTCTGCATAGAAAATTATTTTGACAAAAATTGTCTGCTTTTATTATTAGATTATTATTTGATAAAAATTGTCTGCTTTTATTATTAGGTTGTTGTTGTCTACTGGTCATCATTGTTTGACTGTCATCATTTTACGTCGTTGTCAAGCAACTATCGCCTCCCGACTCTTTACCAAGCCATTATATTGCAATTGTCATCGCTCAACTATCATTGTTCAATCATCAATTCTTGAATGTCATTATTCAATAATCATTATTTGATTGTCATCATCCAATCATAGCATTAGGGCTGTAAACGAGCCGAGCTTGAGCGAGCTATGGCTAGGCTCGTGTTCGGCTCGTTCGAAATAGCTCGTGGTCGGAATCGGCTCGTGAACAGTGTGTTTGTTTTCGGCTCGATTTAAATATTTGGGTTCGTGTTCAACTCGAAATTGACTCGTTAAACTAAAATTGAGAAAAATAGATGTAAAGTGTATGATTCGAACCTGGATAAAAAATATACAAAAGAAGACACTAACCACATTACTACATAAGGTGTTATGATTTAAACTTAGACATAAATATATATAATATATTATTATATAAATAATATATGTAATATATTATTATATAAAAAATTATATAATTTTTTTTTCGAGTCGAACACGAGCGAACAAACTGTTGGTCATGTTCGGCTCGTTTATATTTCGAGCTTAAAAATGTATTCGTGTTCGGCTCGTTCGTTAAGCCGAACGAGCCGAACACGAGCTACTTAACAAGCCGAACACGAGCTGTTCACGAACATCGAGCCAAATTGACAGCTCTACATAGCATGTATCGACTGACTCTTGATCACATTTATCACTTATTGTGTAAATTTTCTTTTGTAAATATATGTGAGGTATTTATATGAAATTAAGAGAAAATTCTCTCTTACAAATATTTAGATGCATGAAAGTGGCAATCATTGCCAGAAGCCTGGCAACAACATCTTTTATTCTCTATGTTTTATTGTAAATATCAGTGTAAATAGATAAGTACTGTGGAAACCTTTGACAGTCCTGCCAATGAAAAATGCAGATAATATTAAAAAAATAATAAAATAAATAAAAGAGAAATTTATGTACATATCACCAAATTTTCTTATGAATGTACATTACACTTATAACACTTTAATTTCATAAGTAACATGCAAAATATTATTATTTACATGTCTCACATAAAATTTTAGTATTTTCTTACTTAGTGCTTACTCTTCACCTTGTTAATAGTGATATGTCGAAGCCTGCGGGAAGAGAACAAGGAAAAGCAGCGATCGAACTCTATCTACAAAGACCTCCGAAACTCTCATTTTTCTTCTCATTCCACCAATCAACATAACAAACTTTAATTTCACATTATCTTAAAGCATGCTTCTCGTGTCAATCTCTAAATCATATAGGTTAGAAGAAAATGAGGTTACTTTCTGATAGTTTCGGGTAGGAACAGAGCGGCATGAAGAGAATGATGAAAGTTTTAGAAGTTTTTCTACGTTAGAAATGCTCGGAACTTGAATTTCAGGATCTGATGAACATCTAGACGGAATTGTTAACTGAGGCCGATTTCATGTGTGAGTTTCATAATATTTAAATTTGAATATAATATGGATAAATAATAATGGTTTATGCGCTATTAATGTAAAGACTCATTTCATAAATTTATGTATTTATTAAAAATATAATGATGATTTTTTAATGTGTTTAAAGTGAGTGAGATATAAATACATCAAAATTATGTGGTTTATATGCTAATGCTCCAAAATATAAATGAAAGACCCAGCAAAGAGAAAATTATTCCATACGTGCAATACATGGAAGC